TTTGCACCACCTGCACCACACTTATCATCACCACCACCAGAAGAACCCTCTATACCCCAATGCTGCTGTTGGTCGTGCTGAGCAGCTGCAGCTGCTGCTGCTGCTGCCACCAATGCTTCTGCTGCAGCAGCTCCAGCAGCTAGACTTGCTTCTGTAGATGCCATGTTCTCTCTGTCTAGGAATTAACTATCAGCAGAAATATCTATACGAAGAAAGCAAATACACCGCAGCCTCGGTGAGCAGCAGCAGATAGAGACAACCCACTACTACAGCTGCAGAGAAGAGGCAGCAGCAGCAGCAGCAGCGATCCCGTCGATGTCACCGCCCGGCAGCAACAGCAGCAGCTCCAACAGCAGCAGCAGCAGCTGCAACAGCAAAACCAAGACGACCGCGAGAAAAGAGCAGCAACAAACAGCCGCACACCAGCAGCAACAGCAGCAGCTGGAACACCCAAAGGCCGCCGAGAACCGCTCTAATGATACATCCGCAGGATGCGCAGCAGGCAGAAGTATGGCGTCTTGAAGAAGAGGCAGCAGCAGCAGCAGCAGCAGCACCTAAAGCAAAGCTTCGGCAACTTGGAGCTCGCCGCGGTGTACGTACACCCCAGCAGCAGTTCACAGCTCTATCTGCAACAGCAGACTCCCGCAGAGGACACTCAAAGCTGAGTAAGTCCCCAACAACAGCAGAAAAAGTAGCCGCAACACCAGCAGCAGCAGCAACAGCAGCAGCTACCAGCAGCAAGAAGCACTCTGTGCTGCAACCGCGGCGGCAGCAGCAGCAGAGTGGGGCTCAAGTATATGAGGTCGTATCGCTTGTTTCTCTTTACCTATATATATATTTATATTCCAACAATTTCTTATTGAATTAAAAATTCAGAAATAAACGCAAAAAAATACAACACTGGCGGCTACGCTCTCTGCTGCTGCAGTGGGGCTTCCCTGCCTCTTCGTCCAGCCCCTGAGTTGACCCCTCGCACTGTGCATGCATGGTGCAGTGGTGTTTGTTGCTTTTGTGTTTTTCTTTTTATAATANGTTGACCCCTCGCACTGTGCATGCATGGTGCAGTGGTGTTTGTTGCTTTTGTGTTTTTCTTTTTATAATAAATAATTTAAATATATTTCTGTTGTTTTATACAAATATATTTTCCACTTTATTCCCGCAACCTACACACCAGCTCAGCCCCAGCCCCCAATATATATACTATACTTCAACTGTATACAGTAACAACACCCAGCAACAAAGCCCCATACTTGGTCCGAATCGTCTAGAGGTTAGGACAACACGTTGTGGCCGTGTAAACCCAGGTTCGATTCCTGGTTCGGACATTTTCTTCGTTTCTCTTTTTTTTTTTTTTTCTTACTTCTGCAGCAAACCAACTTTGGGGTCCAAGACATATGCAACACAAGTAATATGCTCTGCATCAAGTTAGCACAGAAATATTCAATACGTTGCATGCATGTAAATATCAATGTTCTATACATGTCTACAGATATAAAACATACACTAAAGGGAACTTTGTTGAAGCTTGCTTGAGCTCACACCCCAGGCTGGCTTGCACCGCCAGCTGCAGCCAGGTGCACTGCAACTCCTCTCAGGCTGCCTCCTCGCCCGCAAATCCAGGCCCTGAACTGAGCCCCCAGGATGCTTGGAGACAAGGGAGAGACGTCAGCTGCTTGGGAGAAACTCTTACATCGACTCTTTCTCTTTGTTGCAGCTCGTTTGACTGTCGGAAAGCACGCATTGCAACACGAGTCCTCAATGTTAGCTGATGATCACCGGGCCCTGCACCAAGGTCATCGACCTAGATCAGTATTCACCAGAAGCAAATGAGCTTTTCTCCGGTCCTCAGTTGTCCTGTAACGTGACTGTGTTGGGCTGGAGCGGAGCCGAGCCAGAACGTCATGAGCTGCAGAGCTCCTTGCTGCAAGAGCTGCCGCATGCCAACCCCACGAGCAAACAGCTGCTTTCACTTTTCTGCATCTGCTAATGCTGCATACAGTCGTCAACCACTTATCCGGCCCTCAATGCACTGCCTAAATGCAAATAGTAGTACAGAAACGAACTTCACACAAGCCATACTCGGTCTTCCTTCTTCCGTCCCCCAAGCAGCAGATAGTCTCGCGTGCGTGGTCAGCACTGAAGATTGGTGAACATTACCCTGAGAGGTTTCTTGGATTATCTGCTTCCGCTGCTGGCCCGTACGCAGTACCTGTGGGGCCGTTCGGCGTTTTGTTTACTACTCGTTAACGGAAATCTGTGCCATTTGATTTGGGTAGATGCCCCTCATTTATGCGGAGATCTCAAACTACTTAAAAACATGCATTATACTGCGACCAGCGTGTAACATTAGTGAACGAAAAGGCGGGGTACCCACCAGCTCCCAAACCAAAATATGGAAGGATGGTAGTGTTGTCGGCGCCGCTGGGGGGCTTGCAATAGCCGGTGGCAACAGTACATATCCTGGGCAGAAGCAACCAGGGCAAAGGTACAGATAAATAGAAAGAGTTGAGCATCTATTTTGCCGTAGCAAAGCAACTATCAAACGAATGGCTAAGTGTAGTCCCCACATGAGCTTTGCCGGCCAAATCGGCGCGGGCAGTCGCTGCCTCTGACACGTAGATGCTCTTGACAAATTGCTCCCAAACACCGTGGATCAGAGACTCACTTGCGGTTTATATATCCTGACAATCTAAAGTAATAATAATTTCTTCGTTTCTGTGGCCTCTGCGGGTTCTTACACGTGGCTACAGGAGCTCAGTCTCCTCCAGTAGTTCCCGCTCACGGTGAGGTTGTTGCCGTTTTCTCGATAGAGTTCGAGAGAATAGCTGTGAATCTCCTAACCGCTCTAGAGAAGCCATATAAGTGGGTTAATATCATCCTTTTTAAGTTGAAGGTAAGTCTAGAATCTAAGCTAATGCATCAAAAGGATAGCGAACAGCAGAGGGCCATAACGAACGGATGCCAACCTGTTGGTTGTGTTCGCCCTCTTCTGCGCTCCTTTCTACGAGAAGTCTCGTGAGTTAAACGTGGCAGCTGATAGGTGATGTTTCAGTTGTATGGGGTTCTTCTGCTTTCTTCACGCATCCAGCGATCCTGCGATGCTGCAAGCAATGGTGCAAGACAGAGAAGTGGGATTGGCGCTTCTCTGTCTTCCGTTGTTTACATCAAAACGTCGTTGATGCTGCAGGCTCATGAAGCTTGGCAACAGCCAGATCCACAATGAGGTGGACCAACGATGTTTTGATGTAAACCACGGAAGACGGAGAAGAGCGATGCGGGAACTCCGGGCCTCCACCAGTAGTGTTTTGGAAAAACTGTGGAGCTTCTAGACGTGGTTAACGAGGTGGTTAACGAGCAGATGGGCTACTCCCACTGCTGCATCTGATCTCGCACGGGGGAGGAAGTGGGCATATCTAAGCGCAGTCGAAGCCTCTGGCAGTCGGGGCGCACGCTGTGAACCCCACAGCAATGTTCCTGCCGGCGCATCTAATAATCGGAAAATTCTTCAAGTGTCGTGGCCCAATATTTTTCCTCTGCTTCAGCTGCTGATATTCCCGACAAGTGACTTCATCCCTTTGGGCTGAGGGGTGCATCGCGGGGCACCCGCTTGGCTATGGTATCGACCCCGTTATGGCCCGGCAAAACGTGATCGTGCATTCTGTGCAAAATTTCTGTGTTGGGCGAAGCATTTTTGTCTCGCCAACCTGCCGAGAGACCATCAGCCCAACCCCTATCTCCGGGAGCCAGTTAGTTGAGGTGTACTAGGCGCCTCCCTGGTGCACAGTCCCTTGAGAGCTCTCTGTTATTGAGTACATCTGAGAACGCCTCCTTAAACGGTGGGTTAATCCTGCTGCTCCTCGGCTGTTAGCTGGATTGAATCCCCTACGCTGGGCTTTTGGCAGCTCTAAAGGCCGGCACAAGGAAGTGCATGCGTTTCTCCGTCATTTCCAGAAGGGCCACTAAACTATGTTCAATGCTCCGTCCTCGTTTCAGAGCACAGATCCCGTTTCTTTCATCCTAGTGGATGCAGGTACTGTTGAGCTCGCTGCGATGTGCAGCCTCACAAAGATTTCTGGTAGGAAGGCATCAATCCTCTCCTCTGGAGACCGCATGCGGAAATTCCAGTGAGTTGCAAGCCGCATATATCTCATTTTGTTTTTTTTAATTTTGCCCACCGTACGAGCCCTTCCTTATGGTACTGTGACCCAGCTCTGTAATAGATATGGCGCCAGTAGCAACTGTAGCACTTCAACTGCTTTTCACAGACGCTTATAGAGAACAAAGAAATGTCCCCACTACCTCTGGCGTAGACAAGTGCACTGCTTATGAATGGGGTTCGTGGTTGAGTTTTTTTTGGCTGGAGGTGTTGGGGACACTGCGCTCGTTCCAATGAGACGAAAGCCCCACACTGGCCGCATCCACACCGGATAGCAGATAGAGATAATCTTTCATTACAGGAGAGGAAGAAATATCTGAATTAAAAAAAAAAAAAGCAATTTTAGGAGTATAGCTACATGTTTCCCCTTCCATTCTCTACAAAGCGCTTTCATGGCTAATCAGTGATATGCAACAAGCCCCGTGAGTGTGGCGATAGAGGCCGCCTCTGGCGCCTACCCCAGGCAACGACGAGCTGTTACTAACACTAGCCATAGTTCTCTATCTTAGAAGAGAAGCTGCAAAGAAGCAAAATATTTCCCGGTATCAAAGGGGGGGCTCAGCTGTTCTTTGGAGCTCATATCTGAAATATTTTTCATGTTGGGTACAGCAACACGAAAGCCTGGAGATAGATAGAAGAGTCAGCCTATAGTGAGCTGCTGCAGAGTTTGCTGCAGCCCCAGATGCAAGACAAACCCAAATACAACTGCGCGCAGGTGCCGCGTGCATGCATGCACTGACACTGTACGCAACTGGTGAGCTGTGGCTTTGCCTATGCGGCTAGCTTGTAGCTAACTAGCAAATGCAGTATAATAGCAGCAGACTGAGCGTGCTGCTGCTTCTTCTTAGGGCCCCCAGCTGTGCTGCTCCGATGGGCCCCTCATAATTACATTGTAGCTCTTGAGTTTCTCTGTCTATACAGTGGCTTGAAGCAGCAGCTAATATATCCGGGTTGCACACCCAGCAGCAGCAGCACAAACAGCAACAGCAGCAGTAGCAGCAGCAGCAACAGCAGCAGCAACAGCAGCAGCAACAGCAGCAGCAAGACAGGCGGCGGCAGCAGATGACCCGCCTGTACTGCTGCTGCGTTGTTGATAGCCTTCTCATACTGAAACGAAGAGAATAGAGGATAAGCAATATAAATAAAAAGAAAAAATAAATAAAAAATGTATAAAACTAAGAATAATATTATATACATTTCTGGTGATAGTAGGCCGGCCTCGTCTGGGTCTGCGGCGGCTGGCTGAGTTCGAGTGTATGTACAGCTCCGTTGCTGCATTCTTTTGTTAGATAAGTTTCAATAAAACTTTTTTTTAAAACTAATTTTATGTTTCCTTTTTCCTTTTAAAACATCAACACGACGCTGCCTATACACCCGAGCCCAACGACCGGCTCGCCAGCTGTCGCTGCAGCAGCAGTTGAATATATCCTGCTGCTGCTGCTGCTGCTGCTGCTGCTGTCTTCCTCTCTCTGCTTCGCCCCCCCACCTTGCTGCTGCTCATACAGAAAAACCCAGCGCTGCTGCTGCCATGAAGTCTGTGCCGGCCGCATAAGGAGCGGGAGAACCGACAGAGGCCCTCTGCAGCAGCAGCAGCAGCAGCAGCAACCTCAGCAGCAGCAGCAGCAGCAGCGGCAACGCTGTTCTTCCTGAATATCCGCTGCTGCTGCTCCCCCCCCAGGAGTACACACCCGAGATGGCTTCCCTTCGCGCTGTTGGTGAGCCTGCTTCTGGTGCTGCTGCAGCAGCAGCAGCAGCAGAGGGGTCCGGACCAGCAGCAGGAGATGCAGCAGCAGCAGCTGCTGCTGTTCATAGCCTTAAGGAGGAAGGCAACCGCCTGTTCAAGGAGGGGGACTTCGCGGGCGCCAGTGCTGCATACACCCGGATGATTGATGCATGCAAAGCAGCAGNTTCAAGGAGGGGGACTTCGCGGGCGCCAGTGCTGCATACACCCGGATGATTGATGCATGCAAAGCAGCAGCAGCAACAGCAGCAACAGCAGCAACAGCAGCATCAACAGCAGCAGGAAGCTCATCACCCGAGGATGCAGAGTTTAAGTCTTTGCTAGCAGCAGCATACTGCAACAGATCTATGTGCCGCCTGAAGCAGCAAGACGCAGATGCAGCAGCAGCAGACAGTGCTGCTGCTCTGCTGCTGCAGCCGAATTATAATAAAGCTTTATATAGACACTCAACAGCTCTTATGCTGCTGGGGGACTATGCAGGTGCTGGTCGTTCTGTGCATCGGTTGCTGCAGCTGGAGCCAAAGAACAAAGAAGCAGGTTTGCTGCTGCAGCAGCTGCGTGAGGCTGAGCAGCAGCAGCAGCAGCAGCAAGCTCACAGCAGCATGCCTTCATCTCTCCTAGATACAGCTCTAAACCCAAAAGAAACAGAAAAAAACAGAGTGCATGCACTGAGACAAATAGAGATATTAATACAACAAAGACAAAGCATGCAGGAGACCATGGCCAAGCAAGGGCTGCTGCAGCAGCTAGCGAATTTCCTTAAGCAGCAGAATGCTAAAAAGACAGCTGCTGCTGCAGCATCTGCTGCTGCTGCTGCTGCTGCNATTTCCTTAAGCAGCAGAATGCTAAAAAGACAGCTGCTGCTGCAGCATCTGCTGCTGCTGCTGCTGCTGCTGCTGCTGCAGCAGCAACCGACCCTTCTGATACTACCAATGCTGCTGCTGATGGTGCTACTACTGCTCCAGCAGATGCAAAAACAACAGCAGCAGCAACAGCAGCAGATGCAGCAGCAGCAGCAGCAGCAGCAGCAGCGCCTGTCCCAGCAGTAGTGGAGGCAGCTGGGTGGGCGTTGCTGTCTTCGTTGGTGCAGTACAACCCTCTGAGTGCCTCAGACTCTCCCAGCAGCAGCAGCAGCAGCAGCAGCAGCAGGGGTGATATGCTGCTGCAGCTGAATAAACCCTTGTCTTTGCCTGTCTCCATACAGCTCTGCCGCGACGCGCTGCGGCGTTGTCTCTCTTCTGAGGACTTGCTGCAGTCGTTCCGGCGGCTGCTGCGGCAGGGGTTGCTGCCGCCCCCCCCAGATCACTTTGCTGCTGTGCTGCAGTCTCCTCCCAGCAGCAGCAGCAGCAGCAGCAGCAGCAGCAGCAGCAGCAGCGGGGGCAGGGGGAGGAAAGGGGTTGAGGATAGTAACTGGCGGGGTCTGAGTGCTGTGTTTTTGCTGCGTTTGTTTGGCTGTATAAAACAATGTGAAGCAGAGACGTTTGAGCATGATGTCTCCTTTTTGGAGACAGTTGCTGCTGCTGTAGATTGTTATAATGTTGCTGCTGTTGCTGCTGCAGCACTGCATGCAGTTGCTGCTGCAGCAGATGCAAGGAGACGTTTAGGCCTCAAAGCAAAAGCACTCGCGCTAAGACACGGCATAGAAAAATGTCTAGAAGCAGCATTGGGGCTCTTGTCTGCAGCAGCAGACAGCAGCAGCAGCAGCAGCAGCAGCAGCAGCAGCAGCAGCAGGGGGGGAGAGGGAGAAGAGGAGGAAGCACTGGAGCGAAGCGTGGAGGTTGCTGTTGTCTCTCTTTTGCGTTTGTTAGGAGACAAAGAAAGAGCAGAAGGAGACAGNGAAGCGTGGAGGTTGCTGTTGTCTCTCTTTTGCGTTTGTTAGGAGACAAAGAAAGAGCAGAAGGAGACAGAGTAGATATACAGAGACTCACAGACCAGCTGCTGTCTCCTTTTTTATCTTGCTGCTGCAGCAAAGACAAAAGTAAACAAATGGAGGCAGTTGTGGGGTTTAAGTTTTTATTATTTTTAATTACAGCAGACAGAGACAGTGCGAGAGACTTCATCATCAGCAACGGGTTGCTGCCGCATATACTAGCAGCAGCAGCAGGAGAAGCAGCAGCAGCAGCAGGATTAGCGGGGACGCAGCAGCAGCAGCAGCAGCAGCAAGTAGGTGCAGCACTGCTTGTTCATTGTCTTGATTTTGTTGAGATAAGACATAAACTAATAGAAGAAAATAAACAGCAGCAGCTGCTGCTGCTGCTCAGCAACAAACATACACCTCTGCTGCTGCGCTGCAAGGTTGCTGCTGCTGTTTCTCGTTTCTGCTGCCACAGTGCAGAACTAAGACAGCAGCTGCTGCAGCAGGTTAATTTCATACAGCTGCTGCAGGAGTTGCTGCTCCCGTTCAAGCAGTATAAGCAGCAGCAAAAACAGCAGCAGCAGCAGCAGCAGCAGCAGCAGCGGACACTGCAGCAGAAACAGCAGCAGCAGCAGCAGCAGCAGCAGCAGCAGATAGATGCAGAACTAGGACTTTGTCTATTGGAGCTATTCTTTTACTTAACTCTTCATGGGGAGTTTAAAGCGGAGCTGCTGCAGCTCATCACCACAAAGAAAACACAAAAGATACAGAACGAGAAAAAGGAGACAGAAGAGAGACAAAAGGAGACAAAGGAGACAGAAAGGAGACAGCAGGAGACAGAGGAAGAGGACCTCCTACAGACCCTCTTAGACTTGAGCGCAGAGTTATGTGGTGTTGCAGCATCAACCCCCAGCAGCAACAGCAGCAGCAGCAGCAGCAGCAGCAGCAGCAGCAGCAG